TCCTTTACCAACTCCTAATCTGAGCTTTTACACTACTTACTACGGTTAAGGCAGAGAGGGAACTTCATGTCTGTAGCTATTTTCTATAACCACCGTTAAAATAACTGTTATCTGAAGAAGCGCAAGGTGCTCTTATTCAACACACCACGGGACCCGCAGAGATGACTTTTCCTCTCCTGCAAGGACTATTTCATAAGAAAAATGCTTTGGTAAAATTTAAATTTCATTTTTCCATTTGGATCAAGACACTGACAAGGACAACTGAATTTCTTGTGCTGCCACCTCATTCTGCATTTATCACTGTAATGAAGTTAACATTGATTGTATCAGATTCTCCCAGTTAGATGTTCTGAGCTATGAATGTTGTCTTAAGGAGAGGAGAAATGAGCCAGTGACTGTATAGGATCATTACGATTAGCCTGCAGCCTACTTAGCCACACCCCAGGTCACACACGCATAGTTTTAAGGTCCGTGGAGCCCTTCTTTTCCACATGGGTAGCAAGTAACCCCTTGTGTCCTAGGACAGTGCATCTGAAGCTCTCCTCATAGATGCCTTAGTAGCCTGCCCCCACTGGCACAGGTGCCCTATCTTCTTCTAACCATGATGCTGTGCTGTGATCAGGAGTAGGGTCTTTGTCACCATAAGGACTTTGGTGTGAGTCATTCCTCCCCTATGTCCCATCTCCATGATCTTGTATAAGTTCCAGTGATGGTTAGTTTTATGTGTCAACTTGGCTAGGCAAAAGTAACCCAGTCATTCAATCAAACACTAATCTAGGTGTTGCTGTCAAGGCCTTTTGTAGGTGTGATTAATTTTACAATCAACTGACTTTAAGTAAAGGAGATTACCTCAGTAATGTGGGTGGATCTTATCCAACTAGTCAAAAAACCTTAAGAACAAAACTGAGCTTTTCCTGAGGAAGAACCAACACTATCTTACATCAGCTCCTTCCTGAAAGTTTCCAGTCTCCTGGCCTGCCCTACGGAATTTTGACTTGCCAGCTCCCACAATTCCATAAGCCATTCTTTAAAACAAATCATCTCTGTATCTATCTATCTATCTGCCTACTTACCTATCGTTCCTCTACTAATCCTAATGCTTCTGTTTTCCTGGTGAAGCCTGAAATTGAGTTCCTTAATCTCTTTGATTCTCTACTACTTCATTTCTAAAGCAGATATAATGACCACATTTCTCTCACAGATGGGATATTTAAGAGATATTTAATATATATATAAATATATATATATTTAATATATATATATATATCCGTGTGTGTGTGTATACATAAGACCGGGCACATAAAATGACCACATTTCTCTCACAGATGGGATATTTAAGAGATATTTAATATATATATAAATATAGATATATTTAATATATATATATATATATCCGTGTGTGTGTGTATACATAAGACCTGGCACATAGTGAATGCTCAATAAACATTAGCTATTAAGGTAGGCGTATTCTGTAGTGTATCAATTCTTTCAAACTTCACATGTCATGGAAAGGAAACAATAAAGCTTAAATCAAAGTAAAGTATTAAACCCTAACAAATTTAAATAAAGTTCTACAAAGAAAGAAAAATGAGGCAACCTTAAGTGAAATATGAAATATAATGAAACTTGCAAATATCCATCTATCAAAGGAAGATTTCCCTGAGAGTAGGTGGCATATTAATAAATAAGGTATGTGTCTATACCAGGATGATTTCCAAATGACACTGAAATGACTTTTTAATTCACCTTTCAGTGGGAAGAAGAGAATTTATGAATAAAGAGAAATTGACAAAGATTTGACAAACAAAACAGCTCAGCCTAGTGTATGTATAATGTTCTTTGTCATACAGAGGGCCAGATAATTTCTTTGTTCCCCTAGTTACTGAAGTTTTTGGTGTCTCAGCATGTATTTATACAGAGGAACACCTTCTTAAGAATTATTGAGAAATGGTAGTTTTCAAGTTCTCTGAAAAAGAAAGAAAGAAAGAAAAATTTGCTTATATTACAGAAAATCTAATTTAACATGTATTGACCTATATGCCTGGAATATAGGTGATTTGTATATATTGTCTCATCTTAATTCTAAAAAATAACTCTGAGATAACTAATGTTATTATTATTCACATTTTAGATATGAGGAAATTGAGACACATAAAAATTAAATAACTTTGCTGATGGTCAAAGGACTAGTAAGCAGCCAATTTCTAACCAAAACAGTCCGACTGCAGAATCTATTCTTTAACTTCAAAATGCTGCCTTTCTCACGTATAAGGTTACAATTAAGCCCTGTTATAATGTGATGCTACATAGCCAGTGATATCTAAACTCATCACTCAGCATATATGTATTAAGTTTCAGTGTAAGGCTATAAATGTTCACACAACACAAACTGGGTCTGTGGCCAGCTCCCAATCTAGTGGTGGAGAAGACAAGGCTGCTTCTCTCGGCTGCATTTTTGTTTTGTGATTTTCTCTAGTGTAATTCCTTTCTGCAGTGTTTTCCTTCTTGAGTTCATTCCCCTCTGGTATCTGCTGGTTATTTTTCACTATTTGATATTCTTTGAAATATGTATCCCTAGTTTGTTTCCAAAGCATCTCTTTGTCCCCTCTGGAACAACAGAATATAAAACAGAATAAATAACATTGTGTATATACGGTAAACTCTTTCCTATGCTCACATCAAGTTTTGCACAACATCAATTAACATTAACAAGATATTAAATATTCTGTTATATGTCATCTAGTAAATAATGAAGGAGGAATAAGCTCTTAAGGCTTAGTGTTCACAGCTGTGGTAAGATGTGTTTAAGAATTACTCAGGTTCTACAATGTCTGCTCGTGTTACTTCACTGGGTCATTTACTCATTTTAATTGAATCGAGCAAGCATTTGTGTAATGCCTCTTCTTCTTGAAGGCATCCACTTGAGCGACAGCTAAGCCGTGATGGGAAAGACAGGCATCAGATAGACCTGTCTTTGGAGATAGCCTCACAAATCTCATGA